ACTTTTACAAGTTTTAGGAAACATGTGGCTTTGTTTATAGGCTATTGGCAGTCTCCCTAGTCCAGCCTTGGGCATTTTTATTTTTAGGAAAATGTATCGTTCTTACTCAAAATCTTCACTTGTTCTGGATGTTTTTTTAGTGCCTTTAAATCATGTTAGACATTCTGCTTCTTAAATGTATCTTCTCCAAGCAAGGTTAGGTAGAACCGTTGCTGTGATGCACCTACAGACGCATACTGCTCAATAAGTTCTCGAGAGATTGAATTTTCTACTTGTTGAAATACCTATTTTCTCATATTTGATTCACCTAAGCTGATGTAAACATTGCTCTTTTTAAGTCCTAATTTGAACATCTCTCTCTCTTTACTGTGCAGTTTTGATCCATCATTGAGTTATGAAGAGAGGGAAAAAAGGAAGAGACAGGCTGCCGAAAGAGCTGTTTTTCTCCAGAATCTGCTAGTCTCAACTCTGTTAGTATCTGTTAATCTGTTTTTCTGCTGCTGTGTGGCTGGTCTGCTACTCTGTATCTGATGCTAATCTGCTGTGTATCTGCTGCTGTTTTTGGCCTCTGCTAGCACTAGGTTGCATGCCTCTATTTGTTTTGTTTGTATTTGGATTAGGTTGCATGCCTCTATTTTGATTTGTATATGCTGTATTGCTGCCTCTGTTGGTTGCTGTATTGTCCATGCGCTGTAAAAAGTGCATGTAATGCTATACGTACGAATCTGCCCTATAATACTACTAATCTGTTTCCTACTTATTCTATTTCCTACTTATTCTATTTCCTACTTATTCTATTTCCTACTTATTCTATTTCCTACTTATTCTATTTCCTACTTATTCTATTTCCTACTTATTCTATTTCCTACTTATTCTATTTCCTACTTATTCTATTTCCTACTTATTCTATTTCCTACTTATTCTATTTCCTACTTATTCTATTTCCTACTTATTCTATTTCCTACTTATTCTATTTCCTACTTATTCTATTTCCTACTTATTCTATTTCCTACTTATTCTATTTCCTACTTATTCTATTTCCTACTTATTCTATTTCCTACTTATTCTATTTCCTACTTATTCTATTTCCTACTTATTCTATTTCCTACTTATTCTATTTCCTACTTATTCTATTTCCTACTTATTCTATTTCCTACTTATTCTATTTCCTACTTATTCTATTTCCTACTTATTCTATTTCCTACTTATTCTATTTCCTACTTATTCTATTTCCTACTTATTCTATTTCCTACTTATTCTATTTCCTACTTATTCTATTTCCTACTTATTCTATTTCCTACTTATTCTATTTCCTACTTATTCTATTTCCTACTTATTCTATTTCCTACTTATTCTATTTCCTACTTATTCTATTTCCTACTTATTCTATTTCCTACTTATTCTATTTCCTACTTATTCTATTTCCTACTTATTCTATTTCCTACTTATTCTATTTCCTACTTATTCTATTTCCTACTTATTCTATTTCCTACTTTGAATAGTTGATAAGTTTAATCCATTGTGATTTTAAATTTTAACATAGAATGACAAACATCTTTAATTCTAAAAATTTTAGCTGCTCACAGTTTGCAATACTACTAATCTGCCCTATAATTTTATTTTGTGAAAGGGCTCCTAAATTTTCTACTTTCATTTGAAGAAAACTGTGAAGAGTTATCTTACAAAACATCAAGTCAATATTCACAAGGACCCATAATTAATATACACATATTTATATATATGAATAAAAAAAAAGAATGAGTAACATAATCTTTCTCTTTCTCTCTATGTCATTTTTCATGCACAGATGGTGGGACTTAATGATACTTTTTGTTGTGAAACTCTGCAGGAGGCAATCAAATGCATGCATCATTCAAAGAGAACTATGTTGACAACAGATGATGTTGATAGCGCACTCAGCTTAAGAAATGTTGAGGTAATTCCATTTCAAAAATATTCAATGCTATAGCTTTACACTGTGTTAATTCCTATGTTCTATTTATATTCCTATAGGATTGTGCTTAAATAGCCATGTTTGACCATAATTATCATTGCATGGTTGATAGGAAACAACCAGGATTCTTCAGTTTTGGCTTAATCTTCACAAGTAGAAACAAGAACGATTAAATTACAATCAATTTGCAATTTAAGTGATTATTTCTTATCGAAACGACTAAATTACAATCGAGGTGTCCTACCTTAATTCTGGTTGACCAACTTAGTTGACAATTCTGGTTGACCTTTGAATGGCTAAAATATATTTGCTTTTAGCTTGCCACTGCTCAATGCATGTGATGTGGAATATCTATATGATGGCTCTGATTTGATTAAAAAAAAAAGCTTTTATGTGGCAATATTGAAATTTCCCTTTTCCTTATATTTTCTTTCATTATTTTACTTTTTCTTTTCGTAAAAGTTTAGTGTTTCTTCTTTTTCTTTTGATTTGATGCTTTGTGATATCGGTCAAGATCATGGTGGCCATGTGTTCTAATAATTGACTTTCTCATTCATTTTGTTTGTTAATCTTTGTAATCTATGAAAACAATGTTTCAATTTGTGTATATATATATAGATCCCTGTGTTCTTTTTAGATTTCTCTTTTTTGTAATTCTCGTCCTTGCCTTTGCTCATTGCTTAGTGGTGGTGCTTCCCTCAGCGTTGCTATAAATTAAACTCTAGCTCTAGCACTCCCTGCTGCTTGTAATGTGCAGACTTCAACAATTAGCCAGTGTAATGGTAAGCTCTTAATTACTAGCTTTGCTGCTTATCCTTGTCAGCTTTGAAAACATATGTTTTCTTTGGTTTACCAAACCAGCCCTCAAAATCTCATATATCCAAATCAGTTATACTAGAGAAAACTGCCCACAAACAGTGTGGCAATTGCAGGAGGGACTGGTCAGATTGTTAAAGGGATCTTGAAATGCAGCAATGCGTACACCAACCAAGTTTGTTTTCACCAACTTATTAGCAATGCTGGATTTTATGATATTGGTAAGGGTCATCTATTATTGGAAAATGGCTTGGATATATGTCAGCAATCTTGATGCCTCATCTGTTCTTTATTTATTGTTTAAAATATATGATCTGTCAATTTGTTTATTTTCTAATGTTGTCACACTACTCACGTTATTGATTTCCTTGACCTATGTTGTTAGGTTGAGTCACATAGGAAGGCTGCTGCTGCAACTGCCTCTGGTAAATTTAAAGAGGAAATAATCCCCGTGGATACCTAGGTACAACATTTTTATTGCAGTTTCAGTAAGATTGTGATACCAAATTTCAGCTGCTCATTCACTGTTTCCAAGTTTGTGTATGGTACAAATTTGTGGTCTGATATATATATATACTTTCTTTAAAAAGATTGTTGATCCAAAAACTGGAGATGAGAAACCCATGACGATCTCAGTTGATGATGGAATTTGGCCAAACGCAACGATATCAGACTTGGCAAAACTAAAGCCTACATGTAAGAAAGACGGGACAACCACTGCTGGTATTATTGTTTATTTATTTAGTCTCTAATTATTTTTTCTTTTGCATGCACTAGCCTGTGATTCTTGATTATCTTGCTAGCAAGACGATTTCTTCTTCTTCTTCTTCTTCCCCAATGTTGGGTTCGCTTCAATACCCTTCTCAGCTCTCAAAGAAGGTAATCTCATTCATATTTTTGTTTTTGTTTGTTTGTTTGTTTGTTTTCTTGATTTTCTTGTTTTCAATTTTACTAATTAGTTGTTTTCTGTATATCTTTTTCACTCACAGCAGCAGAAACAGGAAAGAGAATGGTTTGCAGTGAGTTTCAAGCCAGAGAATTTCATTCCAGGTCTAGTCATTGGTTTCATTTTTGGGTTGTTCTTGGACTTATCAAAACCCATCAAAAACAATAATAATACTACTCCTAAGAAGGCGGCCAATCTCTTACTGGGAAAGCAGCAAAGACTGGTCTCAACTAACACTGATGAAGAGCTTAAAATGGTACTGTCTCTTATTGTACCGCCTCAGTTCTTTGTTCACTCTGCTTTTTATCTTTCTTCAAACATTATTGTTGTAGAACTCAATTAAATGTTGTAGAAAACATTGTTTGATTTTAATTGTTTTTGCTTTTGGGAGTTTTCTATCAATGAATTTGATTTAGAGGGTGATATGTGATAGGTGGGTTTGATCTTTGTACTTAGTATAAGGAGTTTGGTGTGATGTATTTGGAGATTTTGATCAATACTAAGCAGTTTGGTAGGAACTGTTGTTAAAAAATATGGAGTAATCCTATTAATATGCTGCTACTAGAACCCATTTTTTTGTGTTTCTTCCTTAATCAGTCAGTGAGTGTAGTTCAGATTGATTTTTAATTGTTATGTTACAATAAGTGATGTTTTGCATGTATTTAAACTATACCTAAAAAAGAAAAAACCCTAATTGATCGGATTGGACTATTGTTGCTTGGAAGGCCCTTTGTTGAATTTTGATTGCAGTGTTGTAAGATATATACGATTCTATTCAATTTCTTATATAGTCCTGTAAGCACATAAAGGTGAAAGATGTAGGTATTCATATGCTTTAGAAGATTTTGGTTATTTATTCAAATTTCTTAAGCAAACCAAGTACTCTGATCAGTTATGTCGTATGTGTGGATCCGTTTTTTCTTTTCCAGGTAGAAGACTGCCCCATAATTAGTAGCTGGGCTAAGTTTTATCCATCGAATTGCTGAATGTGAGCTTGTTTTCTTCCAGGATGATAATAGGAAGTGGGTATGCACACTTCAGGATCTATTTGTTTTCTTTGCTGCTGAAATCCTATATCACTATTAACTAGAATTCAACCCCAAATGGTAGAGATTTGAGCTTTCTTCTGGAGTTTTGAGTTGCATATTAGCTGCTGAAATCCTATATCACTCGTTTATAAACAAATGGAATAAAGAAAGCATAAGCTGTTCTGCCAGTTTTTGGTGATTACTAATTCTAATCTACTTTTATGGTTATCTATAAAATCATGCACCTTTCCACAGCATACCAAAGGCATTAAAAGTAAGGTATGAACCAATTATAGATGTTTTGCTGGTGATGGTCAAATATAGCTCCTTTGGTATTTTCCAAAGTATATGTTTAATTAATTTGTTTTCAGTTTTTACATAATTGTCAGAATGCTCTCCATGTGCTAATTCGATTTACTTCTGTTGCAGCTTACGAGCATCAATGGAAGGTTTTCTTGATGCTTTTATGGAGCAAGTAACCGCCTTTCCGAATGTAAGTACTTAATTGAGTTCTACTTTCTATGGTATGATTGGTGTCTCATGATTTAATCTGTGCAGGATGTTAGAGAAGACCTTAGATGTTCTATGGCTTAGGATGCAGAGACTATCAAGAACAAGAGCTGAAGCATCAGTAAAGATCCAAAATGTGTGGAACTATCAATAAATGCAGACAAAGACAAATTGCAAGCACAGCTACCTAAGGATATACCATTGGATTTTCAGAAAAAGGTTATTATAGCCAAACATTAGAAGCAAGAAGCCAACTCTGATATTTTGTTGGGAAAAAATGAAACTTACAAGCGTCTTATGGGTATGTAAACAGTGGGAATTAACTGCTTATGCAAAAAGGGTTAACTGAATTCTCGTCTTATGGGTATGTAAACAGTGGGAATTAACTGCTTATGCAAAAATGGTTAACTGAATTCTTTCTTCAAGAAGCATAGTGTATGGTAGTTGAACCATGTTTTGAACATATTTGTCTTCTATCAATGGTCTAATGGCAATTCATAGAGAGTTCTTAGCCCTAGTTGAACATTTAAAATTGATTACCTCCATTTTCCTGATTTTAGATATTGAAATGCGGTTAACTGCCTTTTTGTATTGCATGGTCTATCTTTTCCTATGGAGTAGGGATAAGGTTGTAGCCATAAATATTATTTTCATGTCCATGTGAGGTTGAATCATAAGCCTCAAAAGGAAGCAATTCTTGTAATTTCTTCACAGCATGGTTTTGACTTTACCAGGATAAGTTATTAGACAAGCATATAGACCATTTTGATTTTAATTGATGTATTTAAAGTCTGAATTGTTTCTATTCTTAGGTATGTAATGCATTGTTTTTTATTTTTAATTTTGTTTTCAAGCTTAGTTTATTTATTATTTTAATAAACATTAATTATTAGTTCTTAATAATTGTTTGCCAGGTTTTTTTTTTGTTCAGCCATATAAAATTAACACAATCTAAAACTTAAAAAAAAGGCTATGGTGGCGTTTACAAAACGTCACTATATCCCATCCCAACGGCTAGATTTTAAAATGAATAAATGTCTATGACGGCGTTTTCAAAAACGTCGCTAAATGTCGGAGTGACGTCACAGTACAGTTAGGGTAGGACATTTGGCGGCGTTTTTGAAAACGCCGCCTATACTAATATAACGACGTTTTTTAAACGCCATAAAGTTATAGCGACGGCCGCGTCCTCGACGTTTGGTATTAAACGCCACAAAAAAAATTAACGACGTTTTTAATACTTTTAGCGGCGTTTTTTAAACGCCGCTAAAAATGAATTTTCCAGCAGTGTCTTATTGAAATAATATAATACACAGAACATAAACACCATAACCTCGCAAATAGTAGTCTTTAGAAATTGTTTACAAATTAAGATACGGAAATCAAATATTTTGAAATAATTTTCCAATCAAGATACGAAAAGCATTGAAAAACTAAATGCATCATATCATGAAGAAGAAATCAACTCCATGCTATAGCATCCCAACAATATAGCAATACATTTTTCATAAAATCGCTTATGAAAAACCACTTAAATGGTAAAAAAAATAATTCCTGCAACTCATCTGGTTTGTCAAATTAATGTGAAAATCATCAATTACATCAACTATAGAATACAAATTGTTGCTTTACAAAATAGTCAAATTAAAAAGATTTTAAAGTCATCTAATAACCATCAAGTATTGCTAGTATCAATACTTGAAAGAAAATGTATAGTAAGAAGAGTAAATTAAATAAGAAAAATTATAAATAGGTGATAACTTCACAAAATATTTAAAAACTCACTGATTTGTAATTTTCTCAATGAAATAAGAAGATGAGTAAAGAGAGCCCATATTATAGTTTGGTGCAAATCTCCATCATCCTATGAAAGGATTCTGAATATTTTTTTTATATATATATATTTTTAATTTTCTGTTTTGTTTTTGTTTGTGAAGCAAAGAAATTTAAGAGAAAAATGACAACAACACAAAATAATAATATAAAAATCAAATCAAATCAAAAAACGTGTAATAGCGACTGCTTAGCAATTCTGATGGAAATTTCACAGATTGGCTTTGCATGGCTGGACCGGATGTGATATGTCGCGCTGTTTTATATTCAACTTAGGTGACGTGTGTCAGGCACAAAAAAATTATTTTTAAAATGAAAATTAATTTTGAGTTTTAATATTTTATGTTTAGAAAATTTTAAAAATTAAAAGCTTAATATATACAGATTTATTAATGGTTAATGAAATTTTTTTATCACTGTGCATAATTTTATATAAAAGGCTCCTAAAAATAATTTTTTTTAAAGTTATAAAAAAAAAATAGTGTATTCTTAACTTGAAATCAAATCATCATGTGTTTATAAAAAAATAAAAATATCGAAAAATTCTATAATATACAAATTATGACTTTGTTATAACTTATGTTGTATTATATTATAACTAGTGTATGCCCGTACCTAAAGGCACGGTGTAAATAATATTGAGATTAAAATGTAGTTGTAATTTGTACGTATCATATTAAAATTTGTAAAGTCTGTAGCACCTAATAAAAATTCAAGTCAGCACTCCTACCATTAGTTTGTAGCTAACACCTAATACACTGGTGAGTGTCACAGTACTCCGAACTACAAATATCTTATTGAAATAATATAATACACAGAACATAAACACAATAACCACGCAAATAGTAGTCTTTAGAAATTGTTTACAAATTAAGATACGGAAATCAAATATTTTGAAATAATTTTCCAATCAAGATAGGAAAAGCATTGAAAAACTAAATGCATCATATCATGAAGAAGAAATCAACTCCATGCTATAGCATCCCAAAAATATAGCAATACATTTTTCATAAAATCGCTTATGAAAAACCACTTAAATGGTAAAAAAAATAATTCTTGCAACTCATCTGGTTTGTCAAATTAATGTGAAAATCATCAATTACATCAACTATAGAATACAAATTGTTGCTTTACAAAATAGTCAAATTAAAAAGATTTTAAAGTCATCTAATAACAATCAAGTATTGCTAGTATCAATACTTGAAAGAAACTGCCGCCGATCGTCGCAGCACCAACGATCGCCGGCTCTGCCTCGCCTCCGCCCCCCGGCCCCCGCTTCCAGCCCCAAATGTTGGGCCCCCTCCAGTCCCTCCTCCTCCTCCCCCTCCAGTCCCTCCTCCTTCTTCCTTCCTCCTCCTCCCCTCCTCCTTCCCTCCTCCTCCTCCCTCCCCTGCTTCTGGTTCTGCTTCACCTTCATCTAAAAAACGAGGCCGTTTTTAAATTCGAGCTATTTCGAACCGCTCAGTTTCGAGCTACCTATCACTGCCGAATAATATGTGCTATTTTAATACATACCAAACAACTACTAAATCTACAAATTACATAAACTCAATAATATTGAAAATTAGAATTAGAATTACATGAATTAATTACCCACAATTTTATTATCTCAAGACCTACAATTTCTTGAGAGCAACATTCATTGCACCTCTTGCTACTAATTAACTATAATTCACTGCATTTATCACTTCAATAATTAAAAAAAATTAAAAGTTAATTAGATTTGACACTAGGTAGTGTCAAAATAGCAAGTCATAATTAAATGATATGACAAGACCATTTTGGCTTAAGCGGTTGGAGATCAACAATGCTACGTACCACTAAATTTCTATCATTAACACCATCACTAATAATGTGACAAGTAAAAAAAAAAAAAAGAGCAAAAACTAAGACACAAAACACATGTGGCAATAGGTGGGACCCATTGCCACATCCCTAGTACAACCACTAATTAATAGTCTGCATCATTTTTCATAATTATTCATGCGTGTGCATTTGTCCAATTAACTTACGGAACATGTTTCATTAATTATGTCTGTCATGTTCTTGGAAATATAATCTTTACCAAATAGATTGAAAAGGAAACAAATAAGAAATTAATCTTTACCAAATAATTGCATTCTAAAATTGTAATTCATTAACGTTTTAGACTTCCTTTATCGAGAGAGAGAGAGAGAGAGCCCTGTGGTATTTGACAACCAATACAAGGTTTCAAGTAGGACAAAAAGTTAGGCTCTATATTCATAGAAATTAATTACTTTAATTGACAGACAACAAAAGCAGCTTCTCATTTAGGTGCTCTCACAACATAAAATTTTCAAAATGAAAATGGATATACACTACGGGATTTGTTTAGATAGGTTGGATAAAAGGGATCGTAATATATTGGATTATTAGTTTTGAGATAATTAATTTATGAATTGTTTTGCTAGAAATTATGTGTATTCAATTATTTATGTGACTTTTATTTTTTTAACCAAACAATAGATTAGTAAATCTATTGATCATAAAATCTAACTCATACCACAATCTCATAAAACAAACGCTTCCTACAACGCAATAACTATCCTAAATTTAAAAATAAATAAACTATTTATGAGAATTGCTTTATCGAATAGAAAGCCTATATATATCAATGAATTTTAGTTTTTTTAAAAATCAAAATTGAGGAGTGGAAAAGGGCAATTATGACATTTCAATAGTATCTATACTTAACACTATATATATCACCTTTGAGGCCTCCCGTGCATGCCACCTCTTCATACTGCAAAGGGAAAAATCCTAAATGAAAATAACAACACTGCCATTAATGGATTACTTGTTTGAAGTTTCTAGGTTTTATCCATAAATGTAAAGTGCATACCAACTTCATCCTCATACATATCTCAATTGCATTCTTGTACTAACTTTATATTTTTAAAAGGATAAATTCCATTGATTTTTCTAAAAAATTTAAAATATATGTGTTATTCTACAGTTTTGATATAATTATATTAATCTCTCTTTTAGTAAGAATAAAACAATTGAAACTAATACAAATGATATGAAGAATCAAGAAAAAATATACATTTCGATGTAAAAGAGATAAGAGTAAACCATTTTTCCATCAAGATGACTTATTGATGAAAAGA